TAAAAAAAAAAAAAAAACTATTTTTTTTACTAAACTGTGTAAGAAAAAAGAACAAGAAAACATAGAAATAGTAAGACTGTGTACTAGCAAGAATCTGGTGGTATGCTTTTAAAAAGGGAGACGATACAATATATTTTGATACTAAAAACTAGATGATATTTGCAACATTTCCAACTAAATTTAATATGAAAACTCAGGCCAGATGCGTCCAAGACACATTCAGTGTTATCACGAGATCTCGTTGTTCCGTCAGAATGAAGCCGGTTAAAACTGCTGCGACCTAGCAGTCGGAGTTTGAATTGTGCCACACAAAAGAAATACAGTACATGTTTGCATTTAAAGTCTTGAAAAAACACTTTAAAATATCAATTCAGTATCGGAACGCCAAATATCGCACTCGGTGTATTAATATTTACTTATTTTTACTTATATCGATCTATTTGTCAGAGGAGGAAAAGACAATTTTAAAAAATACACAAAAATGGACTCTGTTGCAGCATTTCCTACATGTTAACTGCTATTTCATTGGTCACCTGATTCCATTACTTCTGATAATCGTTGAACTCATGTTTAAGGTCAAAAGACGATGAAGTTAGTTTTTTTTAAAGCTTTTATTTTGTTTTTCCTACCAGCCTCGGACCAAACTGCCTTCACCACAGCAACACAAGAGCAGCTGTGAGTTAGTTACATTCAGCTTCCCATGTAGGTGGATCATGTGAGGCTCTGGATGGATCAAACAAGAGATTAGTCAAGAGAATGTGTTGCTCACCTGACTCTCAAACCTCAACCTGTCTATTTTCTGCTGCTGTGGGCGTCTCTGCCCACGACAGCTGATTCTTCCCCATGTGATTGGTGAGCATCCCAACCAAAACATGAGCTCACAGAAGAAGAACAGAATTCAATCCTCGACGTTAAAATCCGTAAAGAACTGAAAGTTTTCATTCTAAACCTTGAATGCCAACAGAGACCAAGGGTCTTGAAAAGCCACTGGAGTCAGTGTCGATGTATGGATGCATTAATTCAGTTAGAAATTCACTCAGATTTTTGTTTCTTGGGTATGAAAATGATTGAATTTGGTTCTCATAACAATAAGTTTCTGTCCAATAATGTGAATCTTTTCCATATAAACAATAAAGAAACATATATCGTGACAGGCAGATAGACAGACCACATAATCTGTCAGATTAATCCAAACGAGAGAGAGAATCAATGTCTGCTCCCTCCAAATGCCTCCCGCGCTCAGATAGGAAATGAAACCAGTTGAGGCCACGCTTGGCGGCTGTTTACCCGCATAGCCGCGGGAGCCGTGTTCTTGGATCAAATCCAATCTTTTTTTCCCAAAATGGTTGTTATTAGGATGAAGCTTTGGATAGACTTATTCAGGATCAGCCCATTCCAGCTGCCAGAGAATCATCAGCAGTTCGTCTGCTGAAATCGCAGATGGTGTGTATGATAAAAAAAATACACACAGACATGAGCACCATGCAACCCTCGATTAATCTGTAAGTGTACATAAAAAAACTTCACTGTGCAAACGAGCCGCGCTTCGTGTTCAAATGAAATTTCTGCAATTCATTTTTTGTATGCTTCTCAAAGTGGGCATGAATATTAGTTGTGATGCTTTGTGAAGGTCTTCTATGGGATTGAAAAAACATTTGCTGCTCTTCCGTGTGTTTCAGTTCAGTTTATATAGTAACTACACTATTATTTAGGAAATAATACCAATCAACTGCAATCTGCAAACATTCACAAGTACAATTTGTCACCTAACTCAAGGAATGAGCCTTGTAGTGTTGTTTGTTAGCAGCCTATAACTATGTGCTAGCAAGCCACTCTAAATATGTAAATATATAGTCGGGCCATGACCCATAGACAGAGCTCAGCCATGGGGCGGAATCTACAGCTGTCCTTCAAACTGAATCTGCATGCTGTTGGAACAACAAACAACATTCTCATTTCTACAAAAATCAGTCGACAGGGCAGTCCGCCATACTCTGTTGAAGAAAAAGAAGCAAGTTTATCCTTTTTCTAAATAAATTACTTTAGTACCTCTATCTGTTCACGTCTGAAAGAAAAGCCCAAGACCAAAGTTGATGCCAAAGATGATTCAAACATGCAACCTTTCCTGATCAGACACCATCTTTGTAGTTTTTCTCCATCACAGCTCTGGTGCTAAGCCCATCCAACATCTCTCTACAAACGTAGATTTCTGTAATTGGCCAGACTTTAAATCGGGCGGGCCAGTGGTAGACCTGCTGAGGCTGCAGTTGAGCGTGGCTAGACCGACCTTTGTAAAACATGTTTTAGTTTTTTTAACAATAATAGCTTTAGCCGATTTTAAACGTGTGTAACTAGAAATATATACGTCTGTCTACTTCCCCTATAGAAAGGTGAAACCAAATTGTCACATTTTTAGGCTGACACGTTCCACTTTTGCTCACCCATACCATCATGATAGTAAACAGACTGAATATATCTTAGTACGATGTAGACGAATCAACAAAAGTCAACTTATAGGGAAAATAGGTGCATTTTTGTTTTTTAGCCATAATTTCCCAGCTTTTTACATAGAGGGGGTGGGACTTAAAACATGTACTGCAGACAGCCACTAGGGGGTGCCTTTTTTCTTTGCATCTTTGCTGCCTTTTCATCATTCTCATCATCGGGGGTTACAGAATCTGGTTATTAACAGTACAAGATTAACCTGAACAAATAAGCCTATAAATGGCTCCTAATGGTAAATATGTTCACATCTGTGGGTGTTTCTGCTTTATTTGTCATGACTGGTTTTGCTAATGTATTATTTGCAATTTATTCCTTATTTTGTATTGAATGTTTGTTTTGGGATTTTTCCCTTTAATTTAGCAGAGGACAGTGCAGATAACAGACTTCAACATTGCAATGATTAAAAATTGGAGTTTTTATCCCTGAAGCAAAAAAAAAAAACTGAGAAACTCTGCAGGATGACAGGTCATTGTATTCAGTAAACATCTCGGTATATTTGTGGGTTGATGTTAGTTTTGTTGACAAGCTATGGCCTGGTTGTGAGCCAGCAGCGAGAAGCCAGGACAGCCAGAGCCACATAAAGTCACCTCTTCCATTCAGGCTTAGAGCAAAGAGAAGCAGCTTTATGGGATAAGAACTAGTCAGGATGGTAAATCCAGCCTCTCCGTTTGGAGAGTGTGCATTCAGATAAACAGGGTTGATATAGCAATGTGTATTGTGGTCTAAAATATTGAATAAAAGTAGGCAAGAGGAGGTTTTGTTCATCAGGAGCCAAACACTTCTGAGAAGATATTAACTCAGAGTTCAGCTGGAGTTTAAATCGGATTCACCAAGTTTACACATCCACACGGCGTGTAGAGTGCTCTCAGCCGGATCTCTTGAAGGAAACACGAGGGTGTTTCACCTGCTTTGGTTCACCTCAAACGTCTCACCTCCCACCTGTCACGCGGTGTCATTCTGATATGGCAGCGCGCATGGACGATTGGGCTGTGGTGTTGTGCTCGATAATAACGTGACTGACAGCTTGCAGCAGCAGCAGGCGAGCAGTTCTGACTGAGATTTATAAGCAGAAACAAAAAGCTTTAAATGCAAAAGGCTTTTTTTTCCATCAATGCACCAAACCATAAAACATGCAGCAATTTGTATTTTATTACATTTTTAAACCAATTAGTAGTGGAATGCATTTAAATCAAAATGGCAAACAATATGAATGGACTTCAGTTTAATTTGCTCAAATAGCCGACGTTTCCACTGCTTTGGCTGACAGTGCTCACTAGCTTAGCAGCTATTTATAATCCGTGGCACAGAGCCTGGAGCTCTGAAGTGTCTTACAAATGTTGTCACAAAACACGTCTGGCTTGTACTGGATGAGTTTTAAACTAACATTTCTCTGTTTTCAATGTAAATTTTTTTTTTTATCTGTTCAGGGAAATTTTCTTTGGACTCAGGGATGTTCCAAACCCATTTTAAACAAAATAAAATGTAAGCAATCCCACACAAAGCAAACCAAATCTATCAATATGACACATTACATCCCAAAAAAGATATTATATGAAACTAATAACCTGGAAAAAAGTGTCATGATCACTCTCCTGTGCAGAGACTCGGATGAGAATGGATTTATATTCTCGGTTCTACCGTCTACATTCGAGGAAGCTAAGCAGTGCTAATGCAGAATAGCTGCAGGGTAAAAATATCATTGGAAGAATTTCACATTCACTAGCACACGATGCTGTCATGATCCAGGGCTTGGCTTAGCTTTAATTGAGCTTTCTATTTCTGACATTTTAATACTAAAATTATATAATTTCAGACTTAAATATGGAATTCAATGTTGTTTGTGTGCATGCATATGTGAAAATATCCCACATATAAGGAAAAAGATTTGCGAGTGCAGAAAAACAAAATATCTCATCAGATGAGATGAAGATTTTTTTTCTCCCAGCAACACAAAGAGTTCAATAAAAATTCAGCTTGAGTGAAATCCTGACACCTGGTGGTCAAAGCATGTAAATGCATCTAATGTTTATTTATTGATTTTTTTTAAGAATAAAGGGCAAATATTCTTAACTTTAAAAAGAAAAACAAATGTGAGAAAATATTGCAAATTTCAATTTATTCCAGAATAAATTAGATTCACTGGGGATTGAAAAAGGTTCTTCCTGGCTCAGATTTCATTGAATGAATCAAAAGAAATAGTGTACAAAACATGCACATTCATTTAAGTATGTGCAAAATTAAATACTTTTTAAAAAGGTTTTATTCTCTTCATCATCATAAATGACAGAATGGCCTGACAGAGCAGAAGGACTTCTCCAGTAATTACTGCTGATTCTGGGTTTGTTGCATCTAAATGGAGTGAAAGCAGATTACACCTCAACAGCAACACAAGGACCATTAATGAGATTTATGCCCCTCTTCTTGTCCTAAATCCTGAGAAGATTTTTCATAAATTGGGGGAAATTTTCAATGAAGTTTGCTTGTTTCTCCACCAGGTGGGCAGGCGGTACCTCAGGACCCTTCACCCTCCTCCACCTGCCCCCCAGGGCCCCCTGCAGCTGTGGCCAATGGCAGCAGTGACGTCATGGTGAACTTTGACCCAGACCCGGCTGACCTGGCTCTGTCCAGTGTGCCGGGGCAGGAAGCATTCGACCCGCGGCGGCATTGCTTCTCAGACGAAGAGCTGAAACCTCAGCCTATGATCAAGAAGGCACGCAAGATGCTTGTCCCCGATGAGCAGAAGGTACTTCATCTCCCACAATCCTTTGCTATTGTGCACATAAACATCTATCCTGCTCCCTTATTGGAGGAATATATTTGAACAACAACAGTCTTCATGAGGCCAATTCATCATGTTTGAAAATCCTTTTCTGAGATCAAGACACAAAACATCAGTATTATTATTATTATTAACATACTGATTTTGTGTTTAAATGATCTTTTATGTCAAATTGTAGTTATATTTTTCATTTCCATGCCAGTTTATTGTCTTCTTTCTTAAAAAGTAACCGTAGGTTTTTACAGTCTGAAACATTTTTTGTTTGTTTTTAAAGGCGAATCTGATGTTTGCAGGCACTCAACATGAGAGCGAAATCTATTAACAAGATAAAATTATTTTGAACTAAAAACAAAAATCACAACAATTGCTAAAAAGGCCCACTTCAGTGACACTTTGTTTATCATGTTTCCACAGAGACAAACCAAACAGACCCCCCTAGTGCTAACGGGCGGCAGCAGACATGTTTAGCTCGACTTCCTCCTTACAAAAGGCCACAGCTCTCTGACAGCTCTTGAGCTGATGTGGTAAAAACTGAAGGAGCACGACACCCACTGGTGTTGATGCTCCTTGATGAGGGTCATAAAACATTTGGTTGTCCGCTTGTTGTGCTAAAGAGAAGCTGTGATCAATGGCTAACGCTTTCACAGCTGCATCTCCTGAGGGTGTTAAAAATTCACCTTCAGACCTGCTGGTTTCTTCTATCAATCATGATTATGCAGCTTCTGGCCAAATCTGCTCAGACATTCCTTCGTGTTCTGTGCCACGTGCTTCGCTTTCCCAGATTTTTCTAACATTTTTCAAAAAGAAAGTTCATTTTCTGGATTCTGGCATGATGGTGTCATTAACCAGCTGTAGACAGAACTCTTAGGAAACATAATTCACCAATTTACATAAATCTTTCACATAGGAACATTTGTTCAACCTCAATTTGACCTCTTATTTCACTCAATAAGTCCAAAAGTCATGGTTTTACCCTGTTTTCTTCCAATTTCTCCTTCATTTGTAATGACTTGCATATTGCATACATTAATTTTAAAAAAGTTTAGCTTATGAATCTCCATTTCTATTGTGTTTAAACTAGTGATGCACCGATATGAAATTTTTGGGCCGATACCAATATCCGATATTAAGATCACTGTTATGGCCGATAGCTGATATTTGCTGATATCAGTATACTGACATTAATGCTTCTAAAATCAGCAGATTTTGTATAGAATTAAATTATTAAAGCTGAATTTACGTTATTATGTACACACATCACACACATTTACACTTCTGAGATGATTACAATCACCGTGACATGACTAAACAATTACACATCACCATCCCACCACCCTCTGAAACAGGAAAACAAACGGAGACAAGATGGAAAAAATATTGGTTGATAATATCGGCCCGATTTTTTTTTTATCGAACCGATACTGATATGATAAAAAATGACTAACATCGGCCGATACCGATGTTGATGACGATATATTGTCCATCCCTAGTTCAAACATGTTTTTAAACCACATGATGCGAACAAAGAATCAGAATCAAAAAGGAAGTAAGTGAGAGTCTCACATTACTAGGAATTTGCTTCAGTGGACTGGGGCAGACATACAAGTGAAGCAAGTAAAAATACAATACATCAGAAAAAATATTATGAATAATGAACATAAGAAACAAACAGTGACTTGTGCAGATTTGTATGGTTATTACGGTTATTTGGTGTTCAGAAGTCCTACAGCAGAGGGGAAGAAGCTGTTTTTGTAGCATGAGGTTCAGGTCTGAATAGACTGGAGGTGTGCAGATCATGGATTGATGGAAGGCTACAGCTAATCACCTTTTTTTGCTGAAAGCACAAGATGCTGTAGTTTGTGCTTCTCCTTGGCAGTGGTCCCTATGTACCACACAGTGATGGAGGAAGTGAGGATGGACTCTATGATGGTCATATAAAACTGGACCTTCTTCATCGGCAGTAGAACTGGGCAGAACTACTGTCAACCTAGCATGAATGCTAACTCCAACTGTATTCAATTACTGTCAGTCCATAAACTTCAAGCTAACTGTGCAACAGGAGGGAGTGGGACCAAGACGGATTTATACAGTCCCATCCACATAGCCTTTTAAAGGGAAACTAATGATGGAATATACTTTGGCTGCATTAAGATTTCTCTGAAAAAGTTTGTTCTGGCAGCCGTTATGTTGAAACTTGCTTCAAATCTTAAAATATCCCTTTTACTGACAGACTTTAACATCTATGTTCTGTGAGATTTTCAATTTACAGTTTTAGTTGATCATGAAGTTACATTTCTGAAACTAACTACTGATATTTACTCATATTATGGTGCCAGAACATCATGCATTTAATTTTTTAGTTTAATCAAAATCTTAAAGCAACACTTAGTTTCCCGCTTCTACCTCCTGCTGGTTGAAAGTGGAATTACAACTGCTGTAAACAACCCTGCCACAACTGTAACCCTAACCCTACTGTAGCTAGCACTAACAACAAGCTAACGCTAACATGAGCCAACAAATGAGCCTTGAAGTAAAATGATCTACACTGTTGGACCAAAAATATTATTTCTTACAAGTCCAGTAGCAAAAGGTCACCATCAGTCTGTGAATATTTGGTCTTCTTTAGCTCCCTCAAACAAATGTAGGCTGTGCCAGTGTTCATCTGGTTTTAGATCTTTGATTTGCCTCCAAAGACACTCTGTTCCTTTTACTTCCATGCTCTGCCATGATGCCTTGAAAAAAGGCAAAATTCTTCTCCTTTTTGTGTTTTTTATCAACAGTTTGCAAATGGAAAAAGCTAATTGCAAGCCTTTATATTAGCTACCAAGACGGTAAACAGGTATAGAGGTCTCCCAATCATCCTTACTCGAACACTAAAAGCTGTTACATGCAGATTTTGGTTAGCAGAAAGCTAAATAGTGCTATCCCATATGAAGATGATTAAGTTTAGGGCTCAAGAATTACTGAAGCCAGTTTGAAAGCAACAGCTTAAAGCGTGTTGTCTCTGCTCAATTGTTTTGATGTTTTGTTGAGAGTATTCATCGTTCTTCCTTTCCAATCATCCTTTTTCTCATCACATAACTGACCCTTCTCATCCCACTTTCTCTTCTTTTTTTGTTTCTCTCCTCCCTTCACCTTCTCCCTCACACACCCCAACATACCACACCGGCGCTGATGATAGGATGAGAAGTACTGGAGTCGGCGTTTGAAGAACAATGAGGCTGCCAAGCGCTCGCGAGATGCTCGGCGGTTGAAGGAGAACCAGATTTCGGTGCGCGCCGCCTTCCTGGAGCGGGAAAACGCCGCACTTCGCCAGGAGGTGGCCGACATGAGGAAAGAGCTGGGTCGCTGTAGGAACATCATCAACAAGTACGAGAGCCGGCACGGAGACTTGTGAAGCAGAGGGATGCAGAAGAAGGGTATAAGAAAACCCAACCACAGCACTTTAGTTGAAGTGGCAAGCAGGAGCGCTGGAGTAAACCTGCAGCAAGCGCTGTGTGACATCGGGCGCAAACACGACAAGGACTGTGTTTTAGAGCACACACTGGGCTCCAGTTTGACTCTGTTGATGCTGCTTCACATAAATGTACTCTACACACTGTTTCATCACATTTCCATGCCTCGGCAGCTCCCCCCTCCCCTCGCTGCCATGCTTACGCCTGGTGTTGCACTGCGTTTTTTGCAGGTATTGCGTTCCAGCTGCTGCTCTGGCCAGTTCAAACAGGGAGTTGTATTCACAATATGCCAGTGAAAATCAACTTTTTAAATTTGAGGCTTATGGACACAAGCCAGAAGTCAGCTGGGTCATTTTTTTTTCTATATTTCGGACAAAATAACTTGTATATTTTTGAACCAGGCAGGAAGGGAAGAGTAGTCCAGCAAAGAGGAGAAGAATGAGGAAGAAGAGGTACAGGGTTTTCATCCAAATTGCAAAGAGATTTTGGAAAAAAGAAATGCTTATTGTATATTTTTCTATTAGCAGAGATATTATGGAGGTGGATTTTGGAAATAATCTTTTGTATATTTTGTATATGGGTAGGGGTGGGGCTTTTAGCTGGACAGTAAACGGGGCCACGTATAGCGTTTATTTCTCTTAGATGTTTATTGCAAAACAACAAAGGATCTATTTTCAAAGTTACAGAGATGGTTAGTCAGACGCAGAAGTGAAACAGAGAATGTATCAAGGATGAATCAGGTATTTCAGTAACGATTGTTTATTGCATGTTGAAAAGAGCTGGTTGAGTGAAAGGAGGACAATAATTGTATAGAAAGAAAACTTTTTTGTTTGATTTCCTTGTGAGGTCATTTTGAGCACTTGAGTTGTTCTCTTCTATTTAACTCTGTGTCTGACTTTAAATAATCACAGGGCTTTTATTTTGAAGGCAAACAAGAATAAAAAAACAGGAAGTGAGTAGCCATCTTGGATTTGAGCACATGTTTGAGAATAAAGAACACGAGGACCATTTTTCCTGGCAGGTTTGCACTTAATTTTCTCACGTGTACTCTCTATTTAGTCCTTGATCTTGTTCCAGGAGGACACTAACTGGTTTAGGGTTGATTCGCCCATATGGAACTGAGACTGACTGAAACCGTTAGCATGCAGACGCACAAACACAAAGGCAGGAACAGTCCTCGCGCTGGTTTTAATCCTTATTGTTGTCGGTGATGTTGTTATGGACTTAACTATGGTGCTGATCTGATCCTCTACCTGACACACACACACACACACACACACACACACACACACACACACACACACACACACACACACACACACACACACACACACACACACACACACACACACCTCGAACGAATAACTGAACTGCCTATACATTTCCTTTTTTGTTTCTTTTTTTTTTCTTGTAAATTGTTTTGAAACATCATATAATGATTTACACAAAAACACTTTTGTCCATACTTCCTTTTCAAACTTTAACCAATGAGAAAGAGAAATGCACCCTACTTCTATTGTACCATACAACTGTACTATTGAATATTAAAGTATTCTTTCACTAGATATATGTACGTGTATACAATATATGCTTGAATTATGTGATTATAGTTGTAACATACATAACTGAATACATATATTACAGAAAGAAAACTATGGATTAATTTTATTGGTTTTCTCTCAGGTGTTTTTGTCGCATAAAAAAATAAAAAGAATTACACAGATGCAAAAAAAAAACTTCTTTGAGATCAGAACCCAAGTTTATGTTTTTTCTGTCATATTTTGAAGGTAAAAGAAGTTATGTTTTTCTTTTCCTTGTGTTGTTATTTTTCAGTTTTAGCTGAATTTTTGACCAAATCACTATAATATGATCATTCTCCAAAATCCACTGAGCTCAGCTTCACAGTCTGCTATGTCTGTCGATCTTTGCATTTAAAATGTGAAATGAAAGAGAAAATGATCTACTATAACTTATGAATGCAACATTAAAAAGCAATACCACTGATAGCCACTAGATGGTGCTTTTAAACCTTTTGTCTACAAAAGACTTATTTCGAAAAGCATCAACTTCAAGATTTGAGGCCATGTACACACATAGCCATGTTTTTGTAAAACCAAATATCCTCCCCCACCCATTTAGGAAAAATAAACGTGGGTCTACACCACTTCGTTTTCAGCAAAAAAATAATAATCCAGTGCATTGTGAAGCATGCCAAGCCTTTAGGTGGCAGTAGTTCCCCAAATCATCAACGCTTTTGCTGAAAAACATTTATTGGACATTGAATAAATAGCTGGTGGGCAGTAGCTATCCATAAATGGCCATTAGACCGTTTTGGCTTGCTTTAACACCCCCTAATGTCCATTTTAAATTACTGTCATAAAAACAAACTGTTTTCCCCTCCCCCTCACTGCAGCCCATGATTTCAAATCAGCCCATTAAAGAAGCACATGTTCAATAAATATAAAAAAGTCATATCAACTAAGAAAACTAAAGCCATAAATTCCTGGAAGCACACTCTGACGTTCGCATTTTGGCTAGTCCCAATATTATCGACTAACAGAGTTCCTGGAAATCAACATGACAACATATTTAAACGTGATTACATTCACAGGGAAAGTACAAACATGCATAAACAAAACAAAATAAACTTATACTTTCACACACATGATTGTGATCTCTGCATCCAATTTGAATCCTTCATTGTCTCTGAGCTCTCGCCATTCACAAAAAACTTTCCCGATGTTGACGCTTGTTTGACCCCTTTTTCGGCTGTACGATTATCAACGTCCACAATCAAATGCTGACAACAGAGAACTCACAAATCTACTTTTTGGTCAGAGATTTTGAAATGATCGTTTTTTTGTGCCATTTATCTTCATTTTGGTGTGGATGACAGGCCAAGTCACAGAAAATATATTCATTTTTTTGTCTGAAGGAGATCCAGCTATGTGTTCAAGGTCTAAACAGTTTTCCTCGTTTTTTTGGTCACTGGAATGTTTGACAACAATTTGATCATTTGATAGTTATTTATTGTTTATGGAACTATTAGACATTCCATTCCACATTATCTATCCATCCATCTTTCGATCCATCTATTCATTAGTCCATTTTGTACATCCTTTTGCTGGTTGTCCTTTCCAGCATTCACTGGAAATTCTTGTCAAAAATCCTATGATCAGTGTTTGGGAACACGTTTGAGCCATGCCTGCCGACTGTGTCTCACACAGGTCACTTTTGAACCACATAGGAAAATGTCCTCATAGACTTCGGAATTGTATTGTAGTGTCAGGAAATTTTAGAGATCATCATATAATTATTTTAAATTATTATGAAACAACAGAAACATCAGAATGCATATGAAAGTATTTCTAAATGTTGTAATGGTCCATAAGGGATTATTGTGAGTCATGTAGCCTAATGTTACTGTTCCTTTAAGAGCGGCAGTGGCTGAAGAATGAAACTGAAAGTTGGACATTATGATAGTAGTTGCAAGTAATATTCTGAATTGTTTTACACTCATAGTTATGCAAAAAATCATTTTACAATTGTTTGATTAAAAGTACCAAATGTTAACTTTGGCTGCAATAACTAACAAGTATTGTTGGGGACTGAACATTTTGAACAAATGTTTAAATTGGAGTTTAGTTCTTTTGCATATGTTAAAGTTGTAAATAAAATTTCTTGTTGCAATTTAGTCACATGTTTTAATTATGTCTTAACTTGTTAAAAGTTTCTTACTTCGTTGGAGAACATCACGTTGTTTCCATTTTATTCAGTTGCAACTTAGTTTTATACATAATCTAGGTTGTCAAAGTTTCCTTATTTTCAATCTTGACTAAATTGAGAAGAATTTCTGACAGATTTAGGATCTCTCTTTTGACTTGGTGACTATTTTGAGAAAGCCATATTTTGTAAGGTCCAAAATTCCAGCAGCACAACAAAAACGGCTATGAGACTCAAATCAAAATGTAACACCAGACAACAAACATTATACAATCTCTGACAATAAACTAAAGGCTTTTCATTTAACATTAGGGAAAATGTATGTAGAAAATCACAAAAAGTAATAAAATGATGGAATTATCAGTTTTTCAACAAATTCAATCTGATTTGATAAGAACAGTGGTCAAAACTTTGGTTCAAATGATGTTTTAATTTTAGAATACATATTTACTGAAGAACTGGCTCAAATGCAAAGGCTGACAAACCTATCAGATCATCTTTTAGTTTCTGGTTTGGGATGTTATCAGATGGTTTAAAAGATATTTCAGGTTCTATTTATTGAAAGGGGTCTATTTTTTGTTTTCTACTATAGAGTAAAAAATGTTATAGTTATGGTTTCATTTGTTTTAATTTGAATCATTTCTTGTTGTCCGTTAGAGATTTTGCGTATTAAATCCCAGAGTCAACTTTTAATTCCTATCTTGATTCTCCCTTGTCTTCTATTTGAAACCAGACAAAAACTTTTACATTTATTCTCTGTACGATATATCTCTCTTTGCTATATTGGCAAACAGGGGAACACATTTGTGTGCTTTATTCTGATACCTACAATTCAGAAACTTTTTAACAGTGCTATTTTTCTATGTAAACGTGTTGTTGAGTGTGTTGCAACTTTTTCCTGTGGGCGTTGGAGGCTCACTCATGTGGTGGCAGCCACAAGTCAGCTGCTTGCAGGTAATACAGACAATAATATTTGTGACAATAACAATAATGTACACAGCCTTGTTATTTCTTCTTCAACTTTGTGAATTCTCGGCTAACTCCCCCTTGTTGTGTGATTGACTGTTATGAACTCTTAAGTCCGACAAATGCAAATCAACCGGGACTTCTCTCCAGTATTTTGTGCGCTGTCCACAGGGATGATGGCAGATGTGATTTTCCCCCCTTTTCACCAATAAAGGCTGATTCTTATTCACTGAAAAATAATTTCTAGTGTGTTGCTGCGTAATTTGAAAGTATGAATAATCTCTGTCTCTATCTGTGTGACTTTCTCACATTGAGCCTTTTTATTATTTTATAATGTGTGCGTGTGTGTGTGTGTGTGTGTGTGTGTGTGTGTGTGTGTGTGTGTGTGTGTGCGTGCGTGTGCGGGCGTGCGTGCGTGCACACGCGTGTGTATGTTGTATGTGTAGTTTGCTGAACACATGTAGATGTATATTCTGACATGTATGTGCCCTGAATTTTGTGCCCTCTGAATGTGTGTGTGTTCTTGTACTTACTGCCTACTGAGGACCACCATGCAGTTGCAACCAACAGAGTGAGGACATTTTTCAAAATGAGGACATTTTTGTGGTCCTCACTTTAAAAAAAAGTCAACCAGTTGGCTTTAGAGGTGTGGTGTGAATTAAGAATTTGTTAAGGTTAGGGTTAGGAATAGATCAGCATTGGTTAGGGTTAGGCATAATGCAGTCACAAAAATGAATAAAAGGCAATGGATGGTCCTCACTAAGATAGAAAGACAGAAGTGTGTGTGTGTGTGTGTGTGTGTGTGTGTGTGTGTGTGTGTGTGTGTGTGTGTGTGTGTGTGTGTGTGTGTGTGTGTGTGTGTGTGTGTGTGTGTGTGTGTGTGTGTGTGTGTGTGTGTGTAGGGGGGAGTTGATAACGTCACCACCTGTGAGTGGTGGGTTGTGTCAGCTGTTGGGCAATGTTGGTATCACCAGCTCCCCCTCATCACGCCACCCACCATCTGCCCAAGCTGATACTCATATTCAGAGCCAAAGTGTGCTAAGTTGGCTCACTTTGAGCCATTCTGTGTCAAACCGTGCCAGTGCTGTATTTACCCTATATTCTGTTAGTTTACCCAAGGCTTTTATTGTATGTCTGCGTGTGCCACCATAACTTTACTTTGAACCTTAATTATTAAATGATGTGATGAGTGTTGATCTATTTTCCAGCTATGAGTTGGAGGTTTGTGTGTTTTTAAGCTATACTGACATGATGATCTCATAGAGCTGTGAATTTAATAATGATCCAGATAAAAATATAACAGCTATCAACAGCAGAGGGCAGTATCTTACCATAAATCTATCCAATGTTCAAATCAGATATTTATGAAACATTCAGGGGGACTTCCAAACCTTTTTATACCATATGAACTTTTAAAATATATCAGATAAAAATCAACCCTGACCTATTTAGACCAGTTAAATTGAGAATTCTATAAAATCCAAGGTCTTTTAACATAGAACTGTAAAAGGAACCGTTTTTAAATAAAGATACAAATATCTATTCACCCAAAATCTTTACCCAGTTGTTCCTGCTCAAGACGATCAGAGCTGGCGTTTATTTCTAAAGGTTATTGGAGGACAGATGAGTTACACTGTGGACAGGGTATCAGTCCATCAACCAACATTTCCTTCACCTTGAGTCAACAGTGTGTAACCCAGGTTATCTTCCAGAGTTATTGAGCCTACATTCCTTTAAAAATACTCCATTGTTAGGAACCGTTTTTCAGTAGTATAAAAAGTTACGAGGGTTACTTGAACTCAGCATGCAGCCGAGCTGCGCAGCCCTCCCCACACCGGAGAATATTAAAATGTTTTTTGTCCGTTAGGCTGAACAGGTGAGCAGAGGTTCAGCTAACTGCCGTCAGTGAAGTAATAGATGACTGGAAACTTCTAGGAATGTAAGGTTCATCACTTGAGAAGGGTTTAAGATTATTTGTGAGGAGTTTTTATTGAAACAAAAGTGTTTTATGATTATAGAGTGTGTTCGCTACTGAAGGAGAAGCCGTTAGAAGTAGATCTTGATTTGTTTTTTGAGGAAACCCTTTGGTGAGTCAATCTAATGTTTCTTGAACTGAATGTATATGTAGATGTGAAACAAAGTTGAAAAATAAAACGTTTATGTAAGCTATGCTAAGCTATGTTCTGTGAAATCTATGTATGTTTTTGAACATTCGTGACGGTCTCATGTAGCTGCATTTTTAAGCCACCCGGCTAGCTGTTAGCTCAGTTTCTGTCAGTAGATGTGTTACACTGTTGAGAAAATGAATTGTACACAAATTTCCTGTGAAGATAAGGTGATTTGTTTTGTTTTTATATTTATTTTGTTAATGAAATCTACTTTTCCAAGTATATTTATTTTGTGAGTTTGGAAGGTAATAGAAAAAAGAGTGACATTATTATAATTTTGTTGCATATGTTTCATGCTGGCTTGTTGATTGAGGTTTAAATCACCTTTTCCTGTCCGGAAAGCCAACACATATGTAGCGTGATGACTTGTCCATTTCTGACCTAAAAGGCCCTGCTCTGTTTTGCTCTGCTCAAAGCAAAACCAGAAGTTTCTGACACAAACCTAATCTGCATGAGATATTGCTCAAGGTCTCATGCTCTGCTTCTAAACTGTGTCTTCCTTTCCAGCTCAAGAGAAGAATGAAGACAAAGGACTCTTTCTTTTAATAAATCAGAAGAACTCTATTTTTAATAAAGCTAATCAAACAAAGTGTTAGTCCAACAATAAAATGTGAACCAATCTGTGAAATGACAATGTTATGATCAGTAGTATTATAATAATGTAACTTTAAATATTTCCACTAGACATTTTCATCCACGTAATGTTAAGATTCACATGACACATTTCCTTTTTCTGATCCAATCAGATCCTTCCAGATCTGACGCGATGCGTGGTTTTGTTGGTGCTTGGTAAATCTGCCCCTTTTTGATTTGACCGTAAATCAAAACATCGAAATTATAAAACCATGCCCATGTCACCTTAATTTACGTTCAAGTGTTCTAGAGAAGTTGTTGGAGTGGCCAATCCGTAACTTTCTTCTTCAGCCGAAATAACCTGGATTAAATCTGTTGCATGTTCCACCTGCTGCAACGGTTCCTTTCAGAATAAAAGCTGAACCATCATGACCCCCTTGTTTGGGTCTCGCTAGATGCCAATAAAACTGTTGTGACCCGGAAGTATCTCAAGACTGGTCTAGTCGGCAACCGCTGCTTTTCCTACCGGCTTCGGTTCCAGAGAAGACCAAACTGGACCTCGACATTCCTGATCTAACGGGGACTTCCGCAAACGGTACGTAGGCCGGCAGAATGTCGTCTCAATGTGTGTTATAAATCTCCAAACCAAAGCTTAGAGCGAAACATCATCTTCACTCCCATCAGAACTAATCCTTTCTCCGAATTTGCTGGTTCTGAACATTTCACACATACACCATTCTCAGTCTTACTTCACCTTAGTTACACCATACACCTAGTGTTTAAAGTTAGTCTTGTTTAATTTGTTTAGTAATAAATCTTTAACCTTTTTAAAGCGGAATCTCTCTTTTCTTGAAGTTGACACGAAGTGTTGCTCCATCCCTGCAATAAAAAGATCTGATCTTCTGGTTAAATTTACTCAAAGGTCCATGAAGGTGATATTTCATCTTTCATGATATTTCACAATTTATGGTTTCTACTTAAATGTAGGAACATCTTCTCTACACATCCAAGGACCCAGATGCACTGCTTTGATCCGCTGGAGGGGTATTAATACTCATGGGTGCCACATCCATGGCAGGACGTTTTCATCATATCCTGTTTCATAGTGTCATTTAAGACCTCTAAACTATTCAAAGGACAAAGGATTTTTTTCCGTTCCTGAGTGGGGGTTTGGACACTTTTTTTGGCAACTTTTCAACATTTTAATGGACTGAATTATCCATTTGCCCAAAAGCAAGAGAACTGGGACATAGTCCTGAATACATTGTTGAATGATAATTGGTTTTATTTATGTTTATTTATTTGGCAGACACTTTTATCCAAAGCGACTTACAATTTATAACCTATAGGGTATGTTGTGATCTGTGGAGGAAACCGGAGTACCCGGAGGAAACCCACGCATGCATGGGGAGAACACGCAACTCCACGCAGAAAGGCCGCAGCCGAGTTTTGAACCTGCAACCTTTGTGCTGCGAGGCAACAATGCTAACAACTGCGCCACCATGCAGCATATATATATTGATTGTTCAATTTCATCATTCCTCTAAGAATCCTCTAGGAGAGGGAATCTAGCATTTATTTTCTTTATGGTGAATTTTATAAACTGTTACATATTTCAATATATTTAATTTATTGAATTGATTGTTGTGTGTGTGGTTTATGGGTTGGAGGTATCAAAGCTCAGATAATGAGCTACTACTGCCAAAAATCCAGCAATAGAGTTCTAAGGGGGAAAAAAAGCAAGAAACTTTAGGAAATAAGAAGCATTTGATCCAGGAGCTCCCACAAACACTTTAACCCTGAAGAAGTATTTCTCGCTGATAGATCTGAATACAAATACTCAGTTTTTTCAGGGAGCCAGGGTTTACAAGTGCATGTTAGAACATAGGAAATCTAAGGCACCTGGCAAGTGTTGGACCAGCGACCCTGGTGCTGATCCAAAATCTTTTCTAGTCATCATCAATATACTATACACATACACATAACGTAATGGATTAGCCTTGTTGAAAAATGACTTTTACATGTGTTCAAGCCTGGCCTGACATACCTTCTTCCTGTCTGTGTGGCGTTTGCGAGACAACGGGATGCTGACGCTGACCCATCGCTTTTAGACATCTGGGTCAAGAGCTGAGGTCGTCACAGAGTCAAGTTGGTGAATATGCATAACTACCAACCTGTGATGACCCCTTCAAGTTTATCTTTCCAACAAAAAACAAAACATAAAAAAATGCATAAAATATTACTTTTAAAAGTGCATAATGTAAGACTGAAATAAAAAGGACACCCTTTGGTCATATTTGAGTACTACAGCCCATTTTTAAAACACATGAGTGACTCACCTCCATTCTGTTTCATGGCTGTTGCCTGTTATGGATCAGCACCAGATGATTCTAGATGATGAGTGAAGACAAGTCAGACACAGTAAGTTGATAAGTAGATATCTACATTTCACTATAGTATTGAGTTGTTGGTAATTGAAAAGGTACCTTGAGGCCGTAA